CCACGTGCTTGTATGCATTCCTGACAACTTTGGGGCATGCTCCTAATGAGGCGATGGATGGTGTCCTGGGGTATTTCCTCCCAGATCTGGGACCAGGGCATCACTGAGCTCCTGGACAGTCTAAGGTGCAACCTGGCAGAGTCAGATGGACCGAAACATGATATCCCAGAGGTGTTCTATTGGATTTAGGTTAGGCGAGCATGGGGGCCATTCAATGGTATCAATTCCTTCATCCTCCAGGAACTGCCTACATACTATCAACACATGAGGCCGGGCATTGTTGTGCACCAGGAGGAACCCAGGACCCACTACACCAGCGTAGGGTCTGACAATGGGTCCAAGGATTTCATCCCAATACCTAATGGCAGTCAGGGTGCCATTGTCTAGCCTGTAGAGGTCTGTGCGTCCCTCCATGGATGTGCCTCCTCAGACCATCACTGACCTATCACCAAAACGGTCATGCTGAACGATGTTACAGGCAGCAGAAAGATCTCCACGGCTTCTCCAGACCCTTTCACGTCTGTTACATGTGCTCAGGGTGAACCTGCTCTCATCTGTGAAAAGCACAGGGCGCCAGTGGCGGACTGCCAATTCTGGTGTTCTATGGCAAAGCAAATGCCAATCGAGCTCTATTGTGCCGGGCAGTGAGCACAGGGCCCACTAGAGGACGTTGGGCCCTCAGACCACCCTCATGAAGTCTTTTTCTGATTGTTTGATCAGAGACATTCACACCAGTGGCCTGCTGGAGGTCATTTTGTAGGGCTCTGGCAGTACTCATCCTGTTCCTCCTTGCACAAAGGAGCAGATACCGATCCTGCTGATGGGTTAAGGACCTTCTACGGCCCTGTCCAGCTCTCCTAGAGTAACTGCCTGTCTCCTGGAATCTCCTCCATGCTCTTGAGACTGTGCTGAGAGACACAGCAATCCTTCTGACAATGGCATGTATTGATGTGCCATCCTGGGGGAGTTAGACTGCCTGTACAACCTCTGTAGGGCCCAGGTATCACCTCATGCTACCAGTAGTGACACTGACCCTAGCCAAATGCAAAACTAGTGATAAACAGTCAGAAAAACATGAGTAGGGGAAAAAATGTCAATGGCCTCCACCAGTAAAACCATTCCTGTTTTGGGGGTCGTCTCATTGTTGCCCATCTAGTGCACCTGTTGTTAATTTCATTATCACCAAAGCAGCGGCAACTGATTAACATCCCCCTCTGCTACTTAACTGACCAGATCAATATCCCAGGAGTTTAATTGACTTGATGCTCTACTCTGATTAAAAAGTGTTCCTTTAATTTTTTTGAGCAGTGTATAATAGTGGGGCACATAGTAGCATTGTACAGTCAGATTATAGTGTGTGGCCACCTTTTGTCCAAAAGCATAAATAAGGAAAAGCTAGTATAGGGGACACCTCAAAGATTCATAAGACCCTTTTTTGTTGCATGTTTCTCTCTGTAGGTCATTGAATAGAAGGCTGTGTGAGTTCCATATATAAAGCACCCTGCCTCCAATCATGTGTTCTAGGTTTTACCGCATACAATTGGATCTGTGAGAAGAAAGTCCCCGTTTTTATGAAAGGGTGCATTATTCCAGCATGTCTACTGCAACAGGGGCAATTGTGGCCCCAAGGGAAAATGGGACCTGGGTCAGTTACTGGCAGTCATACTCTGTCTGAGAAAAATAACAACTATAATCTCCTTGGTAACTGTGAGCGGCAGATTGATTTAAATTGCAATTATACCCAATTACAAACATATACAGGGACAAACACAGTTTAGAATGAATGTATACTGCACTAAAAAAAATAATAATTGAATGTACAATAACATACCTGGTAAACCCACCAGTCATTTCCTCTTTCTCTGCAGGGTGACAACACTATTTTGCTTGCAGTCAGTTCACTGCAGGGTTGTCACCCTGTGCAGTGGTGTTAAGGCATATGCTGAGAGGGGAGAGTCAACAGCCTCATTACTACTAAAGCTGGCCATACCCTTTAAGTGTACCCAAATCCTAAAATTCACATTATGGGTTAAAAATCTAAGAAGCCAAGAGGAAAATTGTTGCCAAACTGGCTACATCCAATCAGATTCAGCTACTGTTCAGGTATTTTGACAGCCACCATTGGCACCCACTGTCAGAAAACAGCAGACAGCAGGCGAGATTTCTATATCCTTGCTGTATAGCATGAATGGAGGAATTGCTGTATGGGCAGCTTTAAGCCCCCAACCAATCAGAGCAGGACACATATTCGCCAGAACTGGGAGGAGTTATCCCATATGGACTTGCTGTGTCATTTCCTACTGATGGTGGACTGAAGACCACGGGGGCCTGAGATGATGTCACACGGGCCATGAGGGGTATTATAGCGTTCCCAGTGTGGCAGGGGAGATTGGCAAAGGTGAGCATTTGTTAATAAGTGTTGTTGTTACATGAAAACCTTCCCTTTACCATGAATGGACAGAGCAACAAATTCACTTTGGTCCAGCTTGGATAATGTAAGTATGTACACTCACCAGCCACTTTATTGGGTCCACCTGTTCAATTGCTTGGTAACACAAATGGCTAATCAGCCAATCACATGGCAGCAACTCAATACATTTAGGCATCTAGATGTGGTGAAGACGACTTGCTGAAGTTCAAACGAGCATCAGAATGGGGAAGAAAGAGGATCTAAGTGACTTTGAACGTGGCATGGTTGTTGGTGCCAGATGGGCTGGTCTAAGTATTTCAAAAACTGCTGATCTACTGGGATTTTCACACACAACCATCTCTAGGGTTTACAAAGAATGGTCCGAAAAAGTGAAAATATCCAGTGAGTAGCAGTTGTATGGACGAAAATGCCTTGTTGATGTCAGAGGAGAACGGGCATACTGGTTCGAGATGATAGAAAGGCAACAGTAACTCCTGTGAATATGGATCAAAATCTCTGAGGAATGTTTCCAACACCTTGTTGGATCTATGCCATGAAGAATTATGGCAGTTCTGAAGGCAAAAGGGGGTCCAACCCGGTACTAGAAAGGTGTACCTAATAAAGTGGCAGAAATTGTTCATTGCTCAAGAAACCCCTAGCAACCTCTGAAGGAACTTCCATGGAACCCTGGTTGAGAAACCCCGGTATATACCATACCTGTGGCATCCCTGGGCCAGTGGTAGGAATAGTGCCCCATCAATGGTGTCAGTGGGAGGAATAGTGTTCCATCATTGGTGTCAGTGGAAGGAATAGTGCCCTATTATTGGTGCCAGTGAGAGGAATCGTGTCACATTTGTTGTTGTCAGTGGGAGGAATAATGCCCCATCGTTGGTATCAGTGGGAGGAATAATGCCCCATCTTTAGTGTCAGTGGGAGGAATAATTCCCCATCTTTAGTGTCAGTGGGAGGAATAATGCCCCATCTTTAGTGTCAGTGGGAGGAATAATGCCCCATCTTTAGTGTCAGTGGGAGGAATAGTGCCCCGCTGTTGGTGTCAGTGAAGGAATTATTTTCCCATTTTTGGTGTCAGTGAGAGGAATATTGCCTCGTATCAGTGGGACAAATAGTGCCCCAAGGGCAGGATAAAAGTATGCAAATGACCGTATTCATCCGGCTGCACTAGAAGCTGGAAATCACTTTAGTAGACACCAGTACTCCAGTCATCTCCACTGGCAAAGGGCTACATTCAGACCGTTGCTCTAGAAACTGGAAAACGCTTTAGTAGACACCGCTATTTCAGTCATCTCCACTGACTTCCTGGTCCTGGATGAGTAGCTGTCCTGCTGCATTCTGAACCTACGAGTGTCATTCTCTAAATACATGCATTTCCTCAATGAATGCAAAGCATTCTTTGATTGAATGAGGTGGGGTGCTGATGTTTCATTCATTCAATGTTTTGCATTCATTCAGAAAATGCATTCAATGAGAAAATGGTGCCCATGCTGAGTGACCAACCACCTGTGTGCATAATGCAGCAGGGCAGCTACTCAGTACGGGACCTGTAAACTAGTGGAGATCACTGGTATCTACTGCCATTGTTTCCAGATTCCACAGGGCTTGGCCAGGTATGCTATGCATCGTTACCTTGGTCCAAGCTGGACCAATGTAACTATGAAAAAAAAATATAAATACTTGAAATTCTCTGTTAAGCTTTATGTTATTTTTGTTCAGAAGACCTGTGTCCATTGGGGACCTACAAGTCCCAGCGTGTTCTGCTCTAAATACCAATTGTCTATTCGTCTATTGAACTCCTGGCATCCTTTTATTTTTCCCCATGGAGGATTTGGCATCTGTAATATGAATCACAAACAGAACATTTACAGTCCATCTTTGGACATGGTCCACTGCAGAGCGTGAAGTGGGTTGAATGCAGGTCAGCTCCTCTGAAGGCCAGCTTGAAGTACGTACAATGAAAGGAGTGGAAACATGGCTTCTGTTAAAGGATAATTCCACCTTTTACAGGATGTTTCATTCATACCCATATTAGGGTTTAACATGTACCATGGTGCCATTCGCTCACCGATTCCCCCCCTTCCTTAGGCCTCATGCACACTTGAGCCCCTAAATACCTTTGACGGTTTTTTTCTGCCCCAAAACTCCCCTCTATCTTAGCCTATGTGTGTCCATGCACACATAGGCATTTAGAGGAGGTAAGAGGCAGTTGCATTTAGGGGCAGAAATCTGCTCACACCAAAATTGTGTTCAGGAGAGGAACGTTTTGGTAAAAAAAAGCTTACGCATTAACACTAGGCACATTTTAGTGCTTGGGCGCTAATATATTTCAATGACCAGAAAAAATTATTCTGACCAACGAAATGAATTAAAGTTCAAGTGCTTAATGCGCCTAAATGCGCCTAATTTACAAGCTTCAAGCATTTTTTCTTCTGCCAGAAGAAAGGCGTCTAACTGAGTTGGCCAAAGTGTCCAGTGTGCATGAGGCCTTACTAGAATCTACAGGCTTCTGTTTAATTATCCATTTGGCAGGTCACAGAAATATCATGCATTCACAGAGATCTGTTGATGGAGAAACTACAAGTCCTATCCAGGGGCGGACTGACCATTTGGAAACTCGGGCACTGCCCGAGGGCTCGGGGTCAGTAGGGGGCCCCATAAGATGCCCCTGGTACCTTTTTCATAGGCTTTTTTGAGTTTGGGCAAGGACACAGGGGCCCCATGATCCCCTCTTGCCTGGGGGCCCCATGAGTTGTCAGTCCGCCCCTGGTCCTATCTGTCACTGAGGCAGAGAAGCTCATAGTTCTCAATAAAACACAAGTGTGGTGACATCATCACAGTTGTGGTCCACTGATACCTCCTCCGGCCTCGTAACCGACGGCCCCTAGTCCACTACTGCTGGAACTGGAGGAATGGTCTGCAGCAGCCTGTGCATTGATCCCAGTTGCAATGCTTTGCAGCCTTAAATGCAAATATAAATAAATAAATACCCATTTTGTCCAGTATGGGGGTATTTAGTATTTTTATAAGGTAAAATATGCCTATAAAGATTGATTCTGGCCGATTCCTGCTGAGTCAGACAAAATTTTAGCCATGGGTGACCCTGTAAGAACCTCTCAGCTCAACAGAATTCCAACTGAAAATCATCTGAGCCCAGTGCAATAATTTCAGCCATATGGAGATCGCATCCTATCGGACTTTGCTGTTTAGTGGCACTGTTGTATTCAGACAGCCATGTGTGCGGCAGTTGACTGTTAACAATAGCTGGCAATGGAGATTCTTTCACTTAGGCGGGCATTTCTGGACCCCTGAAAAACGTAGGCTACTCTTTGGAGTGTTCCCCCCTGAATTTTATTGCAATAGAGTTGTAGACGGGCAGCACAGTGGCTAAATGGTTAGCACAGCAATGGGCAAACTACGGCCCGCGGGCCGTATACGGCCCGGCGGACCTTTTAATCCGGCCCGCGGAGCTAGGCTCCCGCAAGGCCAGTGGTCGGCAAGCCGCGGCTCTTTACAAATTTAGATGCGGCTCTCCTGTGTGCCGGGCGCCCGCTCCCCTCCCTCCTCTCCCCTCCCTCCTCTCCTCTCGGATGGCCGCCCCCCCTCTCGGATGGCCGCCCCCCTCCCTCCTCTCGGACGTCAGGACTCTGCAGCTGTCAGGATGTAGGCGGGGCAGCCAGGATGTAGGCGGGGCAGCGTGACGAACTCCTCTCACAGTCCTCCCTGAAGACCAGAACGGCGCGGGAATACGAGAGGAACGCGCGGACCAAAGGTAAGTGAATTGACACAGGGGGGGGACTTACTATATGGGGGATGAATTACTATATGGGGGACTTACTATATGGGGGACTTACTATATGGGGAATGAATTACTATATGGAGGACTTACTATATGGGGAATGAATTACTATATGGAGGACTTACTATATGGGGAATGAATTACTATATGGGGGACTTACTATATGGGGAATGAATTACTATATGGGGGACTTACTATATGGGGAATTAATTACTATATGGAGGACTTACTATATGGGGAATGAATTACTATATGGGGGACTTACTATATGGGGAATGAATTACTATATGGGGGACTTACTATATGGGGAATGAATTACTATATGGGGGACTTACTATATGGGGAATTAATTACTATATGGGGGACTTACTATGGGGAATTAATTACTATATGGAGGACTTACTATATGGGGAATGAATTACTATATGGGGGACTTACTATATGGGGAATGAATTACTATATGGGGGACTTACTATATGGGGGATGAATTACTATATGGGGGATGAATTAATATGGGGGATGAATTACTATGTGGGGGATGAATTACTATGGGGGATGAATTACTATATGGGGGATGAATTACTATGGGGGATGAATTACTATAGGGGGGATGAATTACTATGGGGGACGGGGGACGAATTACTATATGGGGGACGAATTACTATATGGGGGATGAATTACTATGGGGGATGAATTACTATATGGGGGATGAATTACTATGGGGGATGAATTACTATATGGGGGATGAATTACTATATGGGGGATTAATTACTATGGGGGATTAATTACTATGCTTACTATGGGGGAATATTACTATACTTACTATGGATGACACATACACATCATTCATCTACTCTTGGTCCGGCCCCCGGGTCCAATATATGAACCCATTGCGGCCCTCAAGTCAAAAAGTTTGCCCACCCCTGGGTTAGCATTTCTACCTGGCAGTATTAGGGTTGTTGGTTTGAATCCCAACCACAGCACCACCTGCCTGGAGTTCTTCCTGTCCCTGTGTGGGTTTCCTCCAGGTACTCTGGTTTCCTCCCACACTCCAAAGACATGCTGGTAGGTTATTTGGATCCTGTCTAAATTGGCCCTAGTATGAATATAAGTTAGGTACTTTAGACTGTACATCCCTTGAGGGTTAGGGACTGATGTGAATGTACAATATATATGTAAAGCACTGTGTAAATTGACAGCACTATATAAAGTACCTGAAATAAATAAAATACATTTTAGCGGTGGCGTGGCGCTTCAGTTTCCATTTTTGTTGCAGTCTGCCTTGGAATGCCCACTTCTCCAGACTGACATACACCCCTCAATGCATTGTGATATTTGCATAACTCCTCCAAAGAGCCAGCCCACAGCTCACATAGGGCTCTTGCAAGGACTATTGAGGGAGCTATGATGCTTTCAGGAATCTACATACAGCCCCCTGCTGGCCCCTCCCACCAGCCATGATCTGCCTGTATTGTGCAGGAGAGCACAGAGACCCAGTGATGATATCACTGGGTCTAAAATATAGTACGTAATGGAAAGGAAAGGTTTTATTTTAAAAAAAATCATTAGCATGTTGATGAGAGGGAGAGGAAAAAACCAGGGAAAGCAAAACATAAGCAAATTAAACTTCATCTTTAAATCATTGCACTCAAGAGTTCAGATTTAATACAGAAACAAAAAAAGGGTAAGATTGTACAGATGTGGGAGTCATACAATATTTTAAAATAAACTTTGTAATAACAACTCAAAATACGCACTCCCTGAACATATACTGTACTTTCCATAAAACCAATTTAAATGCCTCAGGATAGGAGTCATAGGAAAAGAGAGATGAGGCCGGTTGGTGGATTAATTAGAAGCTGTAGTGCTGGGGAGCCAAGGAAGTATTTAAACTCTGAGCAAAGCAAATATTGTCATAGATAGATATAGATATTGTCAATAGAGTCCTGTGTATTGGGAAGGGTTAGAATTACTGGCAATTGTTTTATTGTTGCCTGTGCCTTCTTGTTCGGGTGACAACTGAACCCCCATTTCTTGTTGGGGTGTCTCTGCACAGGATCAAGAGTAAAATCCTCCCTAAAAAACCCAAATGTCATCAAAGACCTAAAAAAGGTAAACTCTTACTCTAATCCTTACTAAAAAAATGTCTTTTTTGGCTCTAGTATCAGAGCGTAGATGCGCTAGGATGCATTGGTGCCGTGTGGCTGAAGGAGTATAAAATTGGGGGATGTGGGCTATCTGCAGATGTCACCTTTTCCAGATTGGAACAGAATACCGCCATCGTTCCTTCAAATCTAAAAATATCATTTGTGTTCGTTTCAAACTGAGGGTAGGTGAGTAACACTGGACGCCAATGTTTTCTAGATAATAAAAAAAATCCTTTCTTGGACCAAAAATGGTTTGGTTTGCTGGCTCTCTACACAGCAAGGGTCTTCCCAATCTCAGGGGGCTCTCAGTCTATTTCCAAACCACAGGAGCATCAAACACATGTGGAGTCCATTGTATTTTATTGATCCACAAATGGCAAAGGTACAACCATAAGGAGCCAACACATTGACTCAAAAAATGATAAGCAATAACAACCTGTATATATCTACACCAATCAGCCATAACATTATGGCCACCTACCATAGTCCGTCAAGGCATGGACTCCACTAGACCTCTGAAGGTATGCTGTGGTATCTGGCACCAAGCCGTCAGTAGCAGAACCTTTCAGTCCTGTAAGTTGTGAGGTGGGGGGCTTCCATGGATCATACTTGTTTTTTTCCATCACATCCAACTAATGCCTGATTGGACTAAGATCTAGAGAATTTGGAGGCCAAGTCAACACCTCAAACATGTGTTCCTTACACCATTCTTGAATTCATCAGACCAGACCACCTTCTTCCTTTGCTCTGTGGTCCAGTTCTGATGCTCGCATGCCAATTATAGGCACTTTTGGCTGTGGGTATGGGTCAGCATGGGCATTCTGACTGATCTATGGCTACACAGGCAATACACAACAAACTGTGTGTTCTGTAACCTTTCTACAGGAATCAGCATTCACTTTTTCAGCAATGTGATCTACTGTAGCTCCTTCATTGGACTGGACTACATGGGCCAGCCTTTGCTTCTCACGTGTGTCAATGAGCCTTGAAGCACCCATGACCCTGTTGCCGGTTCACCAGTTTTCCTTCCTTGGACCTCTTTTGGTAGGTCCTGACCACTGCAGACCAGCAACAACACCAAAGAGCTGCAGGTTTGAAGATACTCTGACCCAGTCTTCTAACCATTACATTTTGGCCCTTGTCAAAGTCTCTCAGATCCTTGTGCTTGCCTATCAGTTCATCGACAACATGTTCATTTGCTGCGTAATATATCCCACCTATCATGTGCCATTGTAATGACCATAGCATTATTACAGCGCAGTGCCTAAATGGTTAGCACTTCCACCTGGCAATGCTAGGGTTGTTGGTTCAAATCCCAAACATGACACCACCTGCCTAGAGTTTGAATGTTCTCCCTGGGCTTGCATGGGCTTCCACCAGGTACTCTTATTTCCTCATACACTCCAAAGACAGACTAGTAAGTTAATTAGGTCCTGTCTAAACTGCTCCTAGCATGTGTATGAATGTAAGTTATGGACCTTAGATTTCATGCCACTTGAGGGTTATGGACTGATGTGAATGCACAATATATGTGTAAATTGATGGTGCTATGTAAGTACAATAAATAAATAAAAATTATGGCTGATCTGTGTATGAGAGTTAGGTAGATCCCTCAAACCCAGCCTATCATTGTCCAGTGGCTACTGTGATAGATGTTAAAGCCTTGATGAAGGGGGATTGTTTGGCCCTCAAAATGTGTTTGCTGCTTGTATTTGTACTTTTGCCTTTTGTGGATCAATAAAATACATGGGACTCTCGTACGTTTGGCACTCCTTTGATTTACATATACATAGACTACTCAAGCCTGGTGACCCCTGACACCGGGAAGACCCAAGCTTTGTGGGACATTTTAGTCCCAACTGTGCTCTGTGGTTGGTGGTTGGAATGTACATTTGAGATAGTTTAGACATCTTATATGGCCAAGGAGCTGTACTAATCATGTCCAATTGTCAAGAGGTCCCAGTGCACACTCAGAACCTGCTGTAGGGATTATCTCTCCCATTTGACTTGAGAATTCTTTGGAATCCTTTGGGGACAGTTGGAGTCTGTGGTCAGACAAAGTGATGTCTAGCCCACCATTTTACTTTTGCTTTCTTCACAACTCAACAAAATGATACAAAAAAATTATGATCATGACGATGGATGATACTTCCTAAATAAAAATCACTATATCTCTGATTCATGAGACGTCCCAGTGTTGAAAAAACGCAGCAAGCAATCTGATTGGCTGCTCTTAGTACCCTTTTGTTCCAGTTTTTCTTGCTAAGCTTTTCCTACATCACCCACTGGTGACTCATGGTATTAAGTCCTTGTTATAAAAAAAAATAATAAGCTGCAAGAGGGAGAACTGATGGGAGATGGCATGATCCAGTCTCTTCCTCTTAGGCCCCTTTCAGACGGGGCGGACCCGTCAGCAGATCTGCCTGCTCAGCGGGGGATCTCTCTGCTGAGTAGGTGGATGGCAGGTCTTTGTCTGCTCTGCTGCTGCAGAGAGGACATAGACACTGCCCACTGCCTTCTATGGGGCGGTTCGGATGGAAGCGGACCGCCTGTCTAGTTTTTATTGCTGTCTGTGTCTTATAAGGAGAGTCACTCGCTCTCTTTGTCCTGGTGATCACTGTCACGGAGGCAATGTGAGCAGAAATCAACAATTTCACAGTTGTCACCAGTCCTGAGATTAAGGCTAGGTGCACACCCATACAGTTTGCCTTTGATCTGTTTCTGTATGCATTTATGCCAAGTTTTTGATGCGTTTTGCAGGTTTATATACATTTTTTTCAAGTTGCTAGGCAGGTTTAAAATGCAAAACGCACCAAAAACACATAACATACATAAGCATACATACATAAGCACTACATGCTTTTCTGCAGTGTTTCCATTGAAGTCTATAGAACCAAAAACGCAACCTTTTGCATTTAAAAAAGTCCCTGACCCTTTCCAAAAACCGCTCCGGGTGAAAACGTGGAGCTGTGAACCTGTCCCATAGGAAATCATGTTAAATGGACTGTAATGCATTTCTACAAAACACTGCGGAAGACGCTTAGGTGTGAGCCTAGGGTTACACAGCTTCTCCAAGCAGCACAGCCCTGTCCGTCAGGGGTGGAAACCTAATTTTTCTCTGCTTCAGTTCAGTAGCATTTACAGATCTCCTCTTCACCCTCAGCCTGTGACTTTACAGGAGAAGCTGCTGACCAGGGGCGGACTGACAACTCATGGAGCCCCCAGGCAATAGGGGATCATGGGGCCCCTGTGTCCTTGCCCAAACTCAAAAAAGCCTATGAAAAAGGTACCTCGGGCAGTGCCCGAGTTTCCAAATGGTCAGTCCGCCCCTGCTGCTAACTGATGAGCTCCTCTTTCAGTCACTCTGCTCTATTCTCCTATCAGCATGCTCCTTGCACTGTAGCACAGCTGATGGGTCATTATGCTGCTTCTCCCTTTCCCAGTATGATCTCTGCTGTACATGGACTTCCAGAGGCTGATACCAAGTCAGATTCAGATACTTACACTCTTTGCATTTAAAAACTACATTTGAATATGTGTTGATAAATTTAGATGCCGCAATAAAAGAATGTTCAGCCTATATCTGCTTGAAGTTCAGGCATTATTTACATGGGCAGCGGTCTCTACCACTGCCTGAAAAATGATCTGCAATGGATCGCTTTTCAGAGAGCTTAGGAGCAACAGCTTCCAGGTGTTAGGCTAGGTTCACACCTATGTAGGTTGCAGTTGATGCATTTATTCACTCTGTCTTGCATTTTTTTGACATGCCTTATGCGTTTCTAATGTGTTTCCATTGAATTGTATGGAACCAAAAATGAAATTTTCTGCAGGCAAAAACGTTCCTGACCCTATTAAAAAAAACGCACTGGCTGAAAACACACAGATGTGAATATGTCCCATAGGAAATCATGTTAAATGGACTGCAAAACTGAAAACACACTACAAAATGCATAGGTATGAACCTAGCTTTAAGGTGGCGATACTCCTAAATGGCCAAGGTGGACTTTCCATTTCTAGTGTTACTAAACCCAGGATATCTGGTTTCCCACAGTACACAGAACATGGAAATGCAATTATTTTAGTAAATATAAAACTGCTAAATACTTTTTCTCATCAGCAGTTAGAGCAGTCTTGTGACTCCTATCAGTGTCCAGAAGAGCACTGGGTAAAGCTTGTAGAAGGAGTTTTCATTCTCCTCTGACTGTCCTATGAGGCTGCAATGAGTCCTCTGTGTGGACAGTGCTGATTGCCCTGTGCTGGTCTTTGCACCCTCTCAAAAAAAAAACAACTCCCTAGTAATACACACCAAACTGAGCATGTGCAGAGTGACTCCTAGGGTTCTGAACTATCAGCAGATGCATTGGGGACTGTGGAAGAAGGGTAGGATCAGAGAAGATAGGGTCAAACAGCCTTTTTACACAATGGAGAGGATTTTCCTCTTAGGTTCCACAGTGAGTATAACAAGCATGCTTTAATGCATGTATACCCCGGATCAGCCTTTTTCAACCTTTTCAACAAAGATAGCTAAAAAGATCAGTAGTGTCAGTGGGAGCTTATCTGAAAGGCAGAAGTTTCTCATCACTCAAGGAACCCCTATCAACCTCTGGAGGAACCCTGGTTGAGAAACCCTGCCTTAGATTGTATGCCCCTTAAGGGTTAGGGACTGATTTGAATGTACAATATATATGTAAAGCGCTGCATAAATTGATGGCACTATATAAGTACCTGAAATAATAATATACAGACTGATTTTACTGTTGTGGGATTAGCAGGGCCATGGATAAGGGAGCACCACCAGTCCTCCTGTAGGGGTCAGGAGTGTATTTACCACAAGGCAAACAAGGCATTTGCCTAGGGTGGCATTTTTTCAGGGGGACAGCACTGTCCCTTGGATGAAGGGACAGAAGAAGGGACACACGTGGCATGGGGGCCTGGTGGGTTTCGAGAGATGCTGCGGGTTGTTTGATGGTGTATGCAGAGCCCGACTCTCGCTCCTGGGGATGTCCGGAGCTGTGAAGGTCAGTGTCTTTCTCTCTCTCTCGCCATGGGGGATAGTGGCTGGTGTATGGGGGGCAGTGGTACTGGAAGGCTTCGGGTGAAGGGCAGGGCTGCTCTTGGTCAATGTCAGGCTCTTTCTGCAGGGGGAGGGGGCGCCAATTTTTTATGTTGCCTAGGGCAGCACAAAACCTAAATACACCACTGGTAGGGGTCCCAGGACGAACAGGGGGGGGGGGGGGGGGCAGGCAACTGGGTGAATTGGATGTGGGCAGGGAGGATGATCAGCACAGCTGGGGGGCAATTATTGGAACTGATCCCCTGTATGGCTTTCTCTGCAACAACTGAAAGTCGGCTTCTTCTCCTCTCCCTCCCGCTGGCTTTCATCTGCTGCAGGGGGAGCCATACAGGGGATCGGTTCCAGTAATTGCCCGCCTGCTGCACCCATCACCCTCCCTGTAAACCATACATTTCCCCCCTGCTGCACAGGCCTCCATGTGTGTGCACTCCTTTCCTTTCCACAGGCGACTGCAAGCACAAAATAGGATCCTTCAGAATGGAGAGTGGGGAAATAGACCAGTAAATATGTCATGTTTACTAGCTCCTTCCTGTCCTGAATGAACACAATGATTGATCGGTACTAATCACTCACTGTGTTCATTCATAACTGAAGCATAGTAAGCTTGTTTTTTTTTTTTTTTTTTGGGGGGGGGGGGGGGGGGGGGGGGGAGAGGCCCTGTCATGTTGGCTGTATGGGGTCCCGCGGTTTCTAACATCAGCCCTAGGGATTAGTAACGCTTTAAATATCATGCTGAAAGCAGAAGCCAAGCATTTGGTTTGTGGTTCTGGCATGATCCTATTGACTTCAGTGGGTGAGTTTGACAGGTGGTGCCACCTGTCAAACCTGGCATGTCTAATTCAGTTTGCCACAGCATGTGTATAAGCCCCTCTGGCTGCCATGGTAGGTTTTAGGTGCTCAGATCAACCACCTGTTTTTGCCAGACATTTTCTGTCCATGTACATAAAGCCCAATAAATAAAATGGTTCATTCTGATGGTATAAGATTTTCTACGTTGGCATCATAATCTAAAATTCTTGTATTTATTGGTGTCTTCACAGGTGGAAGAGAAAACAAGATGCCCATCCTCATCTCCAAGATTTTCAAGGGACTGGCTGCAGACCTAACAGGTGCTCTTTATGTTGGTGACGCCATCTTGTCCGTGAATGGGGCTGACTTAAGCGATGCCACCCATGATGATGCCGTACAAGCTCTGAAGAAGACTGGCAAAGAGGTGGTGCTGGAAGGTAAGGCTCATGTTTGATCCTTCGCCCGGACAAGCCAAGAACAAGGCATTCTGACTAATGGAAGTTTGTGATAGAGGAGGAGCGATAAGGAGAAGATTTACTGGAAGGACATGGAAAAGTGGTGATCAGATCAGATATAGGATTGAGAGAACTAGCGTTGCAGGCTGTTTGGTTGCAGCTTCTCTCTCCCCCCACCGTTAGGCCGAGGCCAGGAATTCTGATGATTCCTGCACAGCTGTTAAGAGGGACTTGCACATTCCAGGGATGCTGGGAGTGGAATGTGGGAGGCTTAGAACATGAACTGGCAGTACGGCCTAGAAGGAAGAAAAATATAAAATCTGCTGGCAATGTCTGTACAAGCTGTAAATATAGTCTGTTATAGATGTTAAATTATAAATGATGTTATAAAAACCCATATGTAAGATACGATCAGTCATAGTAACCTGTTCACTGAAGTCACATGAGTTATAGACGAGTTATAGGCGAGCCCTGGCTTCTACGGGATATTTGGACATTTCACTTTTCCTGTCTGCCTTATTGAAGAGCTATTCTAGGGAAGTAGTGAGCTGTAAATACATAAATATTGCAGCTTAGCTAAAATCTGAAAGTAACTCCAGCTTACCTTAACCACTTCCATAGCGGACACTTTCACCCCCTTCCTTACCAGGCCATTTTTAAGTTTTCAGCACGGTCACACTTTGAATGACAATTACTCAGTTATGCAACACTGTTCCCAAATTACATTTTTAGCATTTTTTGAAACAGATAAAGCTTTTCTTTTGGTGGTATTTAATCAACCCAGGGTTTCTTTTTTCCTGCAATATAAGCAAAAATATACTGAATATTTTGAAAAATACATAATTTTTCATAGTTTCTGTAATACAACTTTGCAAATAAGTAATCTTTCTTCATAAATTTAGGGCAAAATGTATTCTAGGAGTTCTGGACCTGGAGTGGGGTGGGAGCTCTGTCAGGTAGGCTGTACAGGGCCCGAAGTGGGGTGGGAGCTCTGTCAGGCAGGCAGTATGGGGCCCAGAGTGGGGAGGAAGCTCTGTCAGGTATGTCGTAAGGGGTCTGGAGTAGGGAGGGAGCTCTGTCAGGCAGGCTGTATGGGGCCCTGAGTGGGGTGGGAGCTCTGTCAGGTAGGCTGTATGGAGCCCAGAGTCGCAAGGGAGTTCTGTCAGGAAGGTTGCATGGGGTCCAGAGTGGGGAGGGAGCTCTATCAGGTAGACTGTATGGAGCCCAGAGTAGGGAGGGAGCTCTGTCACGTAGGCTATATGGGACCCAGAATGGAGTTGGAGCTCTGTTGGGTAGGCTGTGTGGGTTGGGAGCTCTGTCAGGAAGGTTGCATGGGGTCCAGAGTGGGTAGGGAGCTCTGTCAGGTAGACTGTATGGAGCCCAGAGTAGGGAGGGAGCTCTGTCAGGTAGGCTATATGGGCCCCAGAATGGAGCAGGAGCTCTGTCAGGAAAGTTGTGTGGGTTGAGAGCTCTGTCAAGTAGGTTGTATGGGGCCCAGAGTGGGGTGGGAGCTCTGGGCCTGAGTGGGGAGGGAGTGTAATGACTAAGCACATGTTCGTGTGAAACGCGTCTACTGCTCCTCTGTTCTGTCTTGGAGCTGTCATGTTCTTATCATATTACATATAAAGGATTCCAATAAAGGATTTCATCCACCACATTGCTGTTTGTGCGGCCAACCATTCTGTTTTTCCATTGCATCTGGGGAGGGAGCTCTGTCAGGTAGGCTGACTGGGGCCCGGAATGGAGAAGAAGCTCTGTCGGGTAGGCTGTATGGGACCTGGAGGGGAGTGGGAGCTCTGTCAGGTACGTTGTATGGTGCCCCGAATGTGGTGGGAGCTCTATCAGGTAGGCTGTATGGGGCCCGGAATGGGGAGGGAGCTCCTTCAGGCAGGCTGTATGGGGCCCGGAGTGGGAGCTCTGTCAGGTAGGCTGTATGGAGCCTGGAGTGACGTGGGAGCTCTGTCACGCAGGCTGTATGGAGGCCAGAGTGGCATGGGCGCTCTGTCAGATAGCTTGTATGAGACCCGGAGTGAGGTGGGAGCTCAGGGCCTGAGTGGGGAGGGAGCTCTTTCAGGTAGGCTGTATGGGGCCCAGGGTGTGGAGGGAGCTCTGTCACGTAGGCTGTATGAAGCCCGGAAAGGGTTGGGAGCTCTATCAGGTAGGTTGTATGGGGCCCGAAGTGGGGTGGCAGCTCTGTCAGGCAGGCTGTATGGGGCCCAGAGTGGGGAGGAAGCTGTATCAGGTAGGTTGTATGGGGCCCAGAGTGGAGTGGGAGCTCTATCAGGTAGGCTGTATAGGGCCCGGAGTGGGGTGGGAGCTCTATCAGGTAGGATGTATGGGGCCTGGAGTAGGATGGAAGCTCTGTCAGGTTAGCTGTATGGGACCCAGAGTGGAGTGGTTGCTCTGTCAGGTTAGCTGTATGGGGCCCGGAGTGGGGTGGGAGCTCTATCAGGTAGGCTGTATGGGGCCCGGAATGGGGTGGGAGCTCTGTCAGGCAGGCTGTATGGGACCCGGAGTGGGGAGGGAGCTCTATCAGGTAGGCTGTATGGGGCCCGGAGTGGGGATGAAGCTCTATCAGGTAGGCTGTATGGGGCCCAGAGTGGGGTGGGAGCTCTATCAGGTAGGCTATATGGGGCCCAGAGTGGGGATGAAGCTCTATCAGGTAGGCTGTATGGGGCCCAGAGTGGGTGGGAGCTCTATCAGGCAGGCAGGCTGTATGGGGCCCGGAGTGGGGAAGAAGCTCTATCAGGTAGGCTGCATGGGGCCCAGAGTGGAGTGGGAGCTCTGTCAGGTTAGCTGTATGGGGCCCATAGTGGGGTGGGGAGCTCTATCAGGTAGGCTGCATGGGGCCCAAAGAGGGGTGGGAGCTCTATGAGGTGGGCTGTATTGGGCCCGGAGTGGGGAGGGAGCTCTATCAGGTAGGCTGCATGGGGCCCGGAGTGGGGTGGGAGCTCAATGAGGTAGGCTGTATTGGGCCCGGAGTGGGGAGGGAGCTCTATCAGGTAGGCTATATGGGGCCCAGAGTGGGGAGGGAGCTCTATCAGGTAGGCTGCATGGGGCACGGAGTGGGGAGGAAGCTCTATCAGGTAGGCTGTATGGGGCCCGGAGTGGGGGGGAGCTCTATCAGGCAGGCTGTATGGGGCCCGGAGTGGGGAGGAAGCTCTATCAGGTAGGCTGCATGGGGCCCAGAGTGGAGTGGAAGCTCTGTCAGGTTAGCTGTATGGGGCCCGGAGTGGGAGCTCTATCAGGTAGGCTGCATGGGGCCCGGAGTGGGGAGGAAGCTGTATCAGGTAGGCTGCATGGGGCCCAGAGTGGAGTGGAAGCTCTGTCAGGTTAGCTGTATGGGGCCCGGAGTGGGGTGGGAGCTCTATCAGGTAGGCTGTATTGGGCCCGGAGTGGGGTGGGAGCTGTATCAGGTAGGCTATATGGGGCCCAGAGTGGGGTGGGAGCTCTATCAGGTAGGCTATATGGGGCCCAGAGTGGGGTGGGAGCTCTATCAGGTAGGCTGTATGGGGCCCAGAGTGGGATGGGAACTCTATCCGGTAGGCTGTATGGGGCTCCAGGATTTCCAGTAGCGAACATGGTGATAGCATTGCTGGTACAAACCAATAATACATCTAGTAATAAACATGGGAATTTTGGGTGTTTTCACATCAGCAAGCACCAGGGGATTTTGTGTTTAGGAGGAAAGGTCCGCTTTAAGGTGATGTGAGTCGTGTGCCAGTCACCCCCCTCATTTATCTCCAAGGTGCAGACAGTGCAGGTAATGGGAGTTCGTCGGGCAGTCAGCGCTTACGACAGCCATTACTGCACTTAGTTTTAATCAGGAAATGTCAATTATATAAAATCGATGGAGAAGAGCTGAAGTGTACAGTTGTGTGCTGCTGTAATACCTCATCCTGACAGGCATGTATGACAAATTTTTTTTTGTTTGATAATCTGTAGAATTATTCATATTGCTGAGTTCCTTCACTGCATATGTCATTTCCAGGAGGGAGCTGTAAGGCTGAAAAAAGTGGCAAGAAAATGGTGAAAAATGCAGCAAAAACTAAGATGACCATGAAAGATTTTGTAGTTATTTCGGCAACTGCTCTCTAGTGGAAATAATTGGGTTGATTTACTAAAGGAGCAGAGTAAGTTAATTTACAAAGTGAATTAGCTTAGTGGATGAGATGACTGGATGCAGCCGCTGTTCACTTTTTTCAATCAAAGGCTGTTGGGTGGCAGGGAGCCGACAACCCTCTAAGCAAATTTCCTGATTAACCGTCCGAAATTTGTTCAGTGTATGGCCTTCCTATGGGTCGGTTCACACCACAATTTCTGCATTCTGGATGTGTTTCTGCATGCCTGCTTTTGATGCATTTTTGTTCCAGTGCCTTTTTTCGACTCTTTTTATTCATCTCAATTGAGGACATGTGAGGTCCGATGCATTTTTGATGGGTTTTGCCATACTCCATACAGAAAAAATGCAGCGTGTTCCATTTTTGTTGACTGCACTGGAACACACTGCACTGGCGGGAACTAGGACCATTGGAATCCATGTTAAAAATCCACTTGCTGAGCGTCCACGTACATGTACATCATCCAGCCTGTCCCAGGTTAGGGGTACGCATTTGTGTCTATCAGGCACAGAGGATTGCGTTCCTGGTGGGGAATCATGCAATCGCTATGTGATCACATGATCACACTGTCAACAAAGCTGTTATTAATTAATTTCCTATATAATTCCTATAGAGTGATGCTGTGATTGGCCCACAGCTATCACATGGTGCCTGGGCCAATCACAGCACCCTTAACCATGTGATTACCTGTAGCCAATCACAGATCACTTGCAATCACAGCTGTAACAGCAAAATGAGAAAACAAAATCCATGATCACCCCCCAAAGTAGTGCAGCATTACTATGATGACACTGAACAACTCTGATAAATGTATTATAAAAAAAAAGTATTTTTTTTTAAATGTTAAAACAAATAATAAAA